ACATGCGTGTGTGTGTTGTCTGTATGTATGTGCGCGTGAGTGTGTGTGTGCGCGCACTTGCATGTGTGCATGTGTTGTGTGTGTAGCACATGTGCGCACGCGCGAGTGTGTGAGTGTGTAAAGTATGAGACTTTTGTTGGGACATTTAGGAGATATTTGGGAGAAAATTATTGTAATTCAATTCTTAACATTATTAGTGAATTACCCACATCTGAGTGGAAGATTGGACGTAGCCCTTAGTGGTGAACCAGTATAATTTGATGTATCGTTTTCCTGTATTTTGCAGTTTTCTTCTTTATTTGCATATTGTGGTTGTGTTTGGATATTTTCTATGGAATGAAAAATTATACAAGACCGTTTATTTCCCAACAAGTGGTATTAGAGCTTTAGGGTCGCAGATCATGAGAGACAAATATCACGCACACCATTATTATGAAGGGGTTTTGAAGTTCACTACAAAGAATTTCAGTTTTTGGAAGATGCAGATAAAGAATCTTCTTACGTGCAATAAAATACACAAGACTTTGGGTGAGGGACCAGCGGGGATGACCGACAAGGATTGGAATGAGATGAATGAGTAGATCGTTCCATCTCATTCCAAACATCAAAATGTCTTTATCGATGGGTGTATGCAGTCTCGTGGTGAAAGAGACGACTACGAAAGAATTGTTGTAGCCTTGAAAGATAGGTATGAGAAACCTTCAGCCAACACTAAAATACTTATATGAACGAAGTATTTCAATATCCACATGGAGGAGGGAACCTCAGCGAATTCCCACATTAATGAGTTCACCGACGTATTGATCTAACAAGAAGAGATGAGTATCAAGATCGATGATGATGTTAAGGCTATGAAGTGGCCTACATTTTTACGTGACAGTTAGAAGACGATGAAGACCACGGTGTCGAATCACTTCTTACCCAAATTACTATTATTACAAAAAGCTGAATCACGGAGGTGCGGATGACGAGTTCAATTTGGTATTTCTCATAAATAACGTAGTATTATTATTGTTATCAAATAATTATAAAGAAAATATTTCATCATCCCTAGATTTTTTTCATTTTTCTCATAAATCTTTCTTTTACCAAATTTTGTCTCGTTCGTTTTTTATAAATCTGGCGGCCAAATCACTTCTTACCCAAATTGCTATTATTACAAAAGGTCGAATGGCGAAGGTGCGAATGGCGAGTTCAATTTGGTATTTCTCATAAATAACGTAGTATTATTATTATTAAGAAAATATCTCATCGTCCCTAGATTTTTTTCCTTTTTCTCAGAAATCTTTCTTTTACCAAATTTTGTCATGTTGGTTTATTATAAATCCAGCAGCCAAATCACTTCTTACCCAAATTACTATTGTTACAAAAGGCCGAATGGCGAAGGTGCTAATGGCGAGTTCTTCTGAAATTATCGAGGAGATAAAACCTTTGAAAGTTAAGGAGGTGACTAATTCTTGTATGGCCAAGACTTTGGAAGGGGTCGTTTCAGATTCAGCCACAGTTACTGATAACTCTCCTAAAGAGAGGTATTTGTGCCTAAAAGTTGAATAAAATAGCTAAATATAGTCTCATCTAGTCCCCAATAATCAATGTGTGCCTATTATAAAAGATAAATTCATGTTCTCATATGGCTAAGAGTTTATTGTTAGCACTCATATAAATGACCTTATTTTAAGCATTTTGCTGCAGCTTTAACGATGCTACAACATCGGCCCCAGAAAGAGACAAAAAGCAGCAAACTAGCAGTAAAAAATCTTCTCAACAACTTTTACCACAGTAATTAGAGGTTTCACATGAAAGTGAAATCTGGGCCACACAGGGCTTGTTTTGTTGCCCTAAAATTGGAAGAGGTATAAATGCTAATAATAAGAGAAGTCTTAACACACACACCAAGACAATTCCATTATTCATTCTTGAATGAATGAACCCTCACTCCAAGAAAACCTCTCCAATTGATAGAGAAAGTCAAGAGGAGAAGAAGACACTCACAGTAGCTGAGTGGAGGCCGAGAAATCTTATTAAGAGCTGATCTTCAGCTCCCTCTCTTCATTTTTAGCATATTTGTATTGTTTTTAATCCTACATTTTTTAACCTCCTTATGGTGTTGTGTAGCTAATCACCTTGTGTAACGGGGCGATGTTGTGAACTCATTTTCTAGGCTGTAACCTTGTTGTTTACGCATTAATGATAGTATGTTTTGAGTTGAAGTTGTTGTATCACTCTATTTTCGATGTGCTTTATCACCATGTTGAAATACCTCTTTGATAACCTTTGGAAAAAGGTATTAAGGAGCGAAAAACTTCATTTCGATCTAGAGTTTAC